GGCCTGTAGACTCAGCCACATACCTCTGTGCTACAGACACACAGCGGTGCCCTGGCAGCTGCATCCTGCACCCAAACCCTGCTCACCTCTCACAGTCAACAGAGCTGGTGCTCTTCCCACAAGGCCTCCTCCGGCTCCTGGCAAAACAAAGTTGGGGCCATTTGAAAGGGGTGAAATGTGTGGGGCTGAGCACTGGGTTGACGAGGACAGGGGGTCTGTCCATACTGTGAGTTCTGCTGATACTAACTGTACAGCTTTGGGTAATCCATGAGATTTGCAGGTCTCAGTTTCCTTATCCGAAAATGATGGGCTTAAATATGTGATTTCTGATGGTCCTCTCAGCTCCAAAATTCAGAGTCTAATTTTTCAGAAAAAACAAACAAAAGCACCCTGAAAATTACCTGAGAGCAAGAAAGGAGGATTTGCTTTTTTAGACAGTTAATTCTGCCCAGTTTTTGTGACTAGGCCAGAATAGCTTGAGAAACATACAGAAACATTCCTCTGAAGAATTAAAAAATATATATTTTCTAGATGGAAAAAAGTCCAACCATTTTGAGACACTTTTAAACTGAACATCAAATGGTGATGATGATGAAGATAAAGATAATAAATTGACTTGTATTCTTTATTAACACTCATTTTGTGAGTCGATGACCATACTATATTGGGCAACATGCCGTAAGTTATGAGCATTAATTACAAAAATAGATTTATAGGCTTTGTTTACTACGTGTGTGGTATCAGTGAATGTGTCCGTGTATAACTCTTTTTAAAAGACAAAACTTGTGCCTTCCCATACTAGGCCTGGGTTCTGAGTTGAGGACTTCTCTATTTTTCATTGGTCTGTATTGTCTTATCTATCAATGCTTGTCATCTATGTATAATCTCCTTTCTTGATTCATTTTTAGATTATTACCAAGAAGGACATACCCCAGATGTCACAACATGTTCAGTTACTAACATGGCAGAATCTGAGGCTGACTCTGAGGCCAGGGCTGATGTCTCAGTCTACCATGGGCCCATAGAGTCACTGCCACAATGATATGATCACTATGCTGTTTGGGTGTGAGTGTAGGGG